CATTTAAATGCGAAATAAATCTGTATGCTCTTACATATATATAATATGTATATGTATGTATGTGTTGGCCTTTTCTACGTCTAATTTATTTTCTCTCATCTGCTGTCTTCTTTTTATGCTTGATGCGTCTATAATATTCTTTCCCACATTTTATTAAAATTTCTTCTCGCATTTTACAAAATATTTATTTATTTTCTTTATTGAATTTCGAGAATTCCTAAATGTTGTTTGCATTACTGCCTGTATACATATACTACATGTGTGTATTCATGTACATATGTATGGTCCGTACAAAGATTTCTGGCATAAAACTATGAAAGATTTGCTATTGAAAATTCAAATATTTTTATTTAATTTAATTTTTTTTTTTTTTTTTTTTGAAAAATTGTCTACTCGAAAATGCCGAGCGCTTTGACAACAATGTGTGCAATATGGGTCGCATTTTATTCGCTTTATGCCCAGCGTGTGTACACATATTTATTTATTTACCATAAGCATAAGTACTTATTTAAGTTTTTCAAAATCATAAGTATGTATGTACATACATTCATACATACATATATTTTGAAAAAATTCGTTTATGTAAGCTCATGAATGTTGCCACTTTGTTGGGCTGACAAAATATTTAGATAAATATTTTCATAGCGCTGCAATACGCAGCTTTCACATATATGCACTTGTAATATACATACATACATACTTTACAGATATTTACATATGTAGGAATTTCAGTGTGCGTTTTGAAATGTTAGGAACTTGATATAAAATTGTATAAGCGGAAAAATTGATGTGTGGCAAATAAATACTTTGTGGCAGGCGCCATGTTGAATGGTGTATGTACAGACCTTACTTATATACAAATGGAAACAGAAATATTGGAATGCTAGCTGGGAAACCAAATATGATTTACCTGTGTACTAGTGAGTCAAGGTCTTTGTGAGTGGAAGGGTACCTCCGTACCCCTATGATCTACCCTGGATCATGAATCATGGTCAAAGCAGATAAATTAATATGCAAATTTTTAATGAGCCTTCCCTCTCCCTCTCCCTCTCCCTCTCCCTCTCCCTCTCNATCCCTATCCCTATCCCTATCCCTATCCCTATCCCTATCCCTATCCCTATCCCTATCCCTATCCCTATCCCTATCCCTATCCCTTAATCTTTCTCTCTCTCTCTCTCTCTCTCACTCTCTCCCTCCCTCACTCTCTCTCTCTCTCTCTCTCACTCTCTCCCTCTCCCTCTCCCTCTCCCTCTCCCTCATTACATTTGTTTTGTCCTTATTTCTGTTTCTCTCTTTCACTTTCTCTGTGTCTGTCTTTTTTCTTTCTCTTTCTCTTTCTCTTTCTCTTTCTCTTTCTCTTTCTCTTTTTTTCTCTATCTCTATCTCTTTTCCTTTCTTTTTCTCTTTTTTTTTTCTTCCTCTTTCTCTATCTTTTTCTCTTTCCCTTTCTCTTTCTCTTTTTTTTCTTTTCCTATTTCTCTATGATTTTCTCTTAAATTCCATTCTACTTCCCTTCCTCTTTCTCTTTTTTTAACAGTCCACTTATCTTTCTATTTACCTCTGCCTTTTTTATTCCGTTACCTTTCCCCTTATTCCTCATTCCCACTTTTACTCTCACTCCCCAACTGTCTTCTCCCCTGTACCATCTCTACAAAAGTGATGCAGCACACCTTTGGACACAAATAAAGGATTACGTATAGTGGAGGGGGATAAGCCGACTAGAGAATGAAAACCACATTCCTCCAATATGGATCTAGTTGCAAGGGCCAGTAATGTATCAGCAACATCAATAACCAGCAGGAGAGCGATGGAATGAAGAGACCCATCGATTTAATCACATCATTGTTAATGCTGGTAGAAGCAAACGAAGTGCATGTGTGAAGTAAGCTCCAGATCTTATTTAAGGTAGATATTGGTAAGGGTTTTAAGGAGCCTGAATTTAAATCGCCCTCAGGGACGTAGGATTTTCAAATTTCGTTCATCGTTAAACTAACTCAGTGCTATGTTCACAAATTCTTCATATACGATATGACAACTCTAGGCTCCCAAGACGCCCAAACCCAAAAGGTAATCCACACTGATCAACTTGCGACGGATCTTAAGAAATGTTTCCCTCAATTAATGTAGAATTAATACTATGATAGAGCAGTCCCTAAGATAAAGCGTGATGGTAGCAATAGACCGAAAATTCCATTGTTCCGGAAAAGGCGTTGTACATGGAGGTTATCACCAGTACGTCTCTATGACTGGCTTTTGCAAACTTTGTCAGAGTCGCTTGGAGGGGCTTCTTATTATCGATATGGCAATCCGAACTTTCCGACATGAAATACCCAATTAGTTTGAGAGTTCCAACGCCATTGTAATCTGGATCTATGAAAGTCTCACATTAAGTCCCTCCGAGTATAATCAGTGCCTGATAGGATGACGAAGTTTTCTGGCTCGATGCTACAAATATGTATGTATGTATGTCGTGATATTTTTGAACTTTTATAAAATTTTTTAATTACGCTCTTCACCTTTGACACCTGTCATCTTTTCAAGCCTACTTCTTTGCTCCGCCGACCGCCTCAATCGAGGCAAAGTGAAATAAAATTTTGTTGTTGCAGCACCAATTGTACATAGCACATGCACATGCACATGCACAAATTTGCATGTCTCCAAATCGCTTAAAGCCAATTGTTGTTGTTGTTGTTGTTGATCATGTGGCCCAAAAAACACATTTCATTTCATTTTCAATGTTTCGGCGGCAGCAGCTCGCGTGCATCTTTCAAAATTTTCGCACGCAAGCAACAATTGGCCAGCCGATCGAGTGTTGTATACATATTGTACATACATACATACGCGCCCATATGCACTTGTACATGATGAAAGTCTGTCTTATTTAGTTCGTTGTTATTGTTGTTGTAGTTGTTTTCTTGAACACATTCGCTGTTTATGTTGTGTGTCAAAAATTTGTGTTGTCAGTTTTGTCGTACATGACCGTCACTCGTCGAAGCGCCTTCTCAATACGCAGCACATACATAAAGGCGATTGTGTTGCATGGAGTATTCATAGAGTGGGAGCGTTAGGGTGGTTCATAAGGGCTTTGTTATAAAAAGAAAACACTGATGAACACTGTAATGATTGACAACGTACCACGAGTGGAAGTCGAGTCAAGGTAAGAACCTTCTATCCGTTGGAAAGGTCAATTAGGGCTGGATCTAAATTCACATTGTGTCTGTAAATGATTACTATTTTCACATAACCTCTAACCGTCTAACTCAAATGGTGCCAAACGATTTTTGGGCAATCGAAACAGTGCTTTCATGATGGTCGGTCACGACAGTGTCCATGATTTTATCGACATTTTCAACAATTGGCCTTCCATTTCCGATGGATTACCGGCAGGGCAATTCAAATATAGTGGTAATGAGCTGACAAGGTGCACACATCAGCGCCTTTTCAAAATATGGTCGGATAAACGATTGGAACCTAAGTATCCTCTGTCCAATCCACAAAATGGGTAATCTCAAAGTCTGCGCCAATAACTGTTGAATAAGCTTTGGAAAAAGACTATCGGCACACATAACCTCTTCATCAAGTTTAAAGCTGCCTTCGACAGAAGAGCAAAGTACTGCTATGTCCGAATTCGGTAACCCCGCAAAGCTTATACGACACGTCTTTATTATTATTTATATTTAAATTGATGTTAGACATCACCAAAAGCACTGCCAGGAAGGATGTCACCGTGCCATTCAATACCAAACGGGGCTTTAGACAAGGTGTTTCCTTATTTTGAGACTTTTATAATTTGTTGTTGGAGAAAAAAATACAAGCAGCCGAGTTGAATTGAGAAGCTAAAATCTTATATAGTGCGGTGTACAGCTGCTGGCGTACGCCGATGATATCGACATTATCGGCCTCAACAACCGCGCCGTGAATTCTGCTTTCTCCAAACTGGATAAGGAAGCGAAGGATATGGGTCCGGTAGTGAACGAGGGCAAGACGAAATATCTCCTGTCATCACACAAACAGTCATCGCACGCGCAACTCGGCTCCCACTTCACTGTTGACAGTCGTAATTTTGAAGTCGCAGATAACTTTATCCGTCCTGGAACCAGTTTTGGAACCAACAATAATGTCAGCCTGGAAATCTAGCGCAAAATCACTCTTGGCAACAAGTGCTACTTCGGACTGAGTACGACGAAAAAGCATGAACGAGGACAACAACTGATGAGTCGGCGTTAAGAAATTTCAAGAGTAATTACTTTACTTAGATTTATGGTCCTTTGAGAATTCAGCGAATCAAGAAACAGCGGTTATGCTAGCTATAACATGTAAATCTTTCGATGAACCATTAGAAGAGGAAGACCTCAAATCTATTGAAAGATCAGGGGAGAAGAATCTGGCTTGCTATTTCCAAATGGCGCTGATGATAAACGTGTAAGTGGTGTCTACGCCAGTAAGGCAAAGGAGAATGAAGTGGTCGACAAGACGTCAACGCGCGAAGTTTAAGAAAGTCTAAATATCCATGAAGCCTCCTCTAGTCCTAATATAACTTAAGGATAAGGTTTTTGTTATTATGTCCCCTTGGATGCAAATAAAAACGAAAGAAAAAAATTAATATCTCTTTAAAATGATTTATTTAAGTATCCCCAAGAAATCTCCGCATTTCTTCTTCAACACAAAATTCCCTACCCTTTTATTCCCCAACATTATCGCCAAATTGTACCTATTTCACGCTAATTATTTAGAACAAAGTGAACAATTATATTCCCAACACTTCTTATCAAATTCATTACCGTTAATTTGTTAATTTGCAACATTAACGCGCACCGTTTTGCTCACATATCAACAAAATATGTTGTGGACAACATTTCAGTGACGCTTTTCATTTGAAATTCTTAAACTAGTTGCATGCTTAGTTAGTAGCTGGTATGTTAGACTCAATAGTCACTTACATACATACCTACATATGTATGCATGTGTGCATTTAGAATTGTCACTTTTCATCAACTCACCTCAGTTGCAATTAATCAGCGACAGCATGCAGTAGTTAGTGGCAGCAGCAACAGCAGCAGCAGCAGTTGATAAAAAATCAAAAACTGGAATCACCGTTTGTTTTGCGCTCATTCAATGCGAGTGTTGCATAGCCGATGGCATTGTGGCAGCATGTGAGTAGTTGATAACTTGCAACAAGCTGCAGCAGGCAATCAATAAGTGCTGTTGGAATGGAGTTTTCTTTTATGTCAGAGCTATTTTAATTTTCATATGTTGATATGACTTTTTTTGTTTTTTTCTTTTTCTTTTTGTAAGGCGAGTAGATTTTTGATTAGAATGTGTTTCAAATTGTGTAGATTTTTTATTCGATTTTAATATTTTTTATGAAATTTTAGAACTTATTTTCCACTTATTCATTATTTTCGTAAGTTTTGACTATTTTTTAAAATTCCTCCAGCATCACTAAATGAACACGCTGATTTTAAAAAAATATGTTAAATTATTATAAATGCACTTTTTGTTGTTATTTTTTATAGACAAAGTTTGTATTTATTCATCTTATAAGTAAATTGTAGTATATTTTCCCTTTTATAATTTTTTTGTGATATTAAAAAATATATTTTTTTTCGCCTCATGTTTTACCTCAAAATATTATCAGCAAAAAAATTGACAGACAAAAATTTAATGAAATTAAATAGGAAGTATGAATAGTAAATACAACAACATACATGTAACAATGCAAAAATAAAATAAACGTGCATATTTGAATAATATTAAAAAATATAAGAAAACAGTAAGACAAAATAAGAAGAAAGAATTAAATATATTTAAAAAAAAATCAATTATAACAAATTAAAAATTAAAGAAAGACGAAGAAGGGGAAAATTAATTAAAAAAAGTTTATTTAAAAATTGTCAACAAAATAATAAAAAAAAAACGATTGAAATATACTAAAAAAAATTAATAAAAAAAAGCTTTACTTGAAATATCATTAAATAAAATAAAATATAATGAAATAAACTATAAAGTATTTAAAATAAAATAAAATAAAAAGACAAAAAGAATAAATTATAATATAAAAGGGATAAGAAATATAATAAAATTTAATAAGTTAATAAATAAATAAATTGAAATAAATCAGCTAAAATTAAACAATATACAAAATAAAAAAGAATGCGGAAAAATAAAGAAAATTAAAATTCTATATAGCAAAACAAATATAAAATATAATAACATTAAATAAAATAAATTTAAAGGAAATTAAGTTAATTAAAATAAATTAAATTAAATTAAATAAATGTATAATGAAATAAAAACAAGTTATTTTAAAAATTAAATATAAAAAAAAAAAATAAAATAGAGTAAAATTTAAAACGAAAATTAAGTTATTAATTTAAATTAAAATAAATTGAAATGAAAAAAAATTAATAATAAAATATAGATTAAGGTAAAAAATAAAAACAAATAACATAAAATAAAATAAAAAAAATTAACTAAAATAAAAAAATAAAATAAAAAAGTAAAATAAAATAAAATTGAAACAAATAAAATAAAATATTAAAGAAAAGAAAACTAAATAAAATAAATTGCATGCTGTCGTCAGCAGATGAAAGTTACTCCTTAACTGGATGCAATTAATGGAAATAAAACAAAACTAAATAAATAAAAAAAAATAGAAGTAAATAATTATAAAATCAAAAGAAAATCCAATAAAAGAAAAAATTAATAGGGTGAAATTTAAAACTAAATTAAAATAAAATAAATAATAAAATAAAATGGAAGAAAAAAAAATAAATATTGTAAAAGCAAAATAAAAAAATTAGGTATAAAAATTAAATCAAATAAACATAAACAAAGTAAAATAAAACAAATCAAAATCAAATAAAATAATTTAAAATCAAAAAAAAAAATGGAATAAAATAAAATGAATTAAAATAAAATGAAATAAAAAAAATATAATAAAATAAAAAAATAAAATAAAATAAAATATGAATCAAAATAAAGTAAAATTCAAAACTATAATAAATTAAAATAAATAATTTAAATTAAAATAAAAAGAATTGAAAGAAAAATTATTAAATATAAATATAAAAATAAGGTAGAAAACTTTAATAAACTAAACAAAATAAAATAAAGTAAAATAAAAGGAAAATAGAATAAAACAAAATTAAAGGTAAATAAAATAAAATAAAAAATAAAGAAAAAAAAATAAATTAAAATAATAAAAAAAAATAAAGAAAGAATAGGGTAAAATATAAAGCTCAAAAAAATAAAATAAAATAAAATGAAATGAAAGAAAAATTTACAATAAAATATGTAAAAGCGAAATAAAAAAATAGTTAAAAAAATTAAATCAAATAAACCTAAACAAAATTAAATAAAATAACATAAAATAAAAAATTAAGTAAATAAAAATAAAATAGTATAAAATCAAACAAAATAAAATGAAAAATAAAATAAAATCAAATAATTAATATGAATTTAAATAAAAATAAAATATTGTAAAAAGAATTAAAACAAAATAAAATAAAATAATTAATTTAAATTAAAATAAAATAAATTGATCTAAAAAAGATAAAAGAAATTAGAATAAAATAATGTAAAAAAATTAAATGAAGTAAAATAATTAATTTAAACTAAAACAAAAATAAATTGTGGTAAAATATTTTAAAGGAATTAAAATAAAATATATTGAAACAAAATAATATAATATAAAATTTAATACCATAAATTCAAACAAAATAAAATAAAAAAAAATAATATAATAATATAATAAAAATATATAATATGAAATTATCTTTGGAAATTTTCGTATTCCACTTCCAGTTAAGGGATTCTCTTTGTCCATTATGGATTCATTAAGTTATGCTTCCATTTCTATAAAAGACCCACACCACCAAGTGATCCCCTTAAGCCATTTGAGGAAAAGCCACTAGTCGGAGAGAGCATGGTTAGACAACACGTCGGCTTGATTAAGACCACCCATTTCAGCGTTTTCAGGTGGTTTTGCGAGCGTTGTCATATTGCGAAATCAACTTTCGGTCGATCCAGGCTATTTGCCACGCCATGCTCAATTCGAACTAATTTTTGTAGACGATAACATTTCGCATCAATGGTTTCGGTTGGTTTACGGAACTTGTTACAGTCAAGCCTCCAATTTCCCATCTGCGTTGGCCAGAGCGCTCTTCATTTTCACCTCTCGTGAAGCGTTCAAGCCACTCGCTATATGACGAATCGGTGGTCGGCGCCACCGATGTTCACCATAAACTTCCACAAGTATTCGATAGGCTTCAGCTGCATTTTTCTTATAATCGAATCAGAGAAAACCAAACAATGTTGTTGTCACAAACAGCTACTGTTGCACATTTATTATTGTTGACAGATAAGAGGACCTTTCTAATGAAATATTTAATCCCGTACAAGAGCGGTCATAACAGGCAGGTGGAGCTATCTTTTGTGAATGGACCGAAAGAATTTGTACCACCCAATATTTTTTAAATATAAATAAATGAAATAAAATTAAAAAAAATATGCAAAATTCAAATATATTCACTGCGACATTTAGCGTTGTTCTCTTCGTTGTTCTCACATTTGTTTTCACTATCTCTGTGCCTTTAGTGTCTTGCTTAAATGCTGCTACTGTTGTTGTTGTTGATATTTTTCTTGCAAAGCACCTACTTCTTCGACTCTAACTAATTTGCAATACAGTGTATATTGATTAGTTTTTATGTGGAAAAAAAGAGTCGAAAAAAACTTATTATAAAATCACACGCTTCGTAAAAGTGTGTAAACACTGTAATTGAAAGCAAGAAATGCCAGATGATGATGATGATGATTTATTTTATAGATTTTCATCCTCTCTTTTTCTTTAAATCCAAAGCTATAACCTATGTTGTTGTTGTTGCTGCTGTTGTTGTTGCCGTTGTTGTTGTTGTTGTTGTCGTTGTTGTTGTTGTTGCTACGCTTGGCTTTGTACACTTTTTAACTGCCTCATTAGGCGCACGCACTATTATTTACACACATACACATACACACACACTCACACACAAACAAACTCTCCACATTGTACACACGCATTTGCACATTATGCAGTTGCAACAACAAGACGTGCAACACATGTCAGAAATGGATTGTAAAAAAATACAGGGTGTATACCAGCGGACAAGTCGACAAGTTGGTGGACGCAACCGAAGACGACCAGACGGCCGAAGTAGGCTTGCCGCGCGTCTAAGCTAATGGACCAACAGGCAGGCGGTTGGTTGACTGCTTGGCTGACCGGCTGGGCTGGTGGTTGGCGGTGGAAGTGACAGACTTGTCCGCTTGGCATTTATACACATACATGCATGCATACATATGTACATCCATGCGTATTGGCACATATGTACATACGTATGTTGGTAGTATATGGCCTGATTGGGTGTTGGGCTGTCTTGAAAATATTTTTATTGTATTTGCTGTTGTTTTCTATTTTACTTTTCTTTTTATTCGTTTGCCTCTAGGCGCTATCACTACTGACCGCAACAACAATAATGGTGTTTGTTGGCTAAAATTGGTAACTCCTCGCACACTCTTTGGTTGCCACTGTTATTGTTATTGCGCTAATCATTGCATCATTCTTTGCTTATGTTGTCGTTGGTTGTTGTTGTTGTTGCTATTATTATTACTTCTGCACATTGTTGTTGGTGCTGCCTAGTTTTTACAAAGCTATCTTATTGCCTTTGCACAACAACAATTGCATTTTGTATTTTATCTTGTTTATATTCTAATCAAATTCAGCAGCAATGACTCATTTGAAACTATTTAAGACTTAAACTGTGAGCGAAAGCGTACGCACTGAGGGGCTACACGATGCTGCAGTGCCAGCAACTCTGCTATGTACACATGTTTATGTATATGTACTCTTGATATGCTTCTTGTCTCTCTTTATAAAAAAAATTTCAAAATCTTTGCATTACAAAATACGGCAAGTGAATGTGGAAATTTTTTGAATGTAATTGAACTTTTAAGTGACGCCAAAGACAGAGGCACGCATATGCAAAAAAGTTGCAAAAAGGGCAACGGAAAAGAAAAATTGTGGAATTTTCCTCACACAAAAGCATATTTTGCATTTTTGAATATAATTTTTTTTTTTGTTTTTCTTTCAATTTCACAGTAAAAACATTTCTTTTATTTTTGCTCCTGGATTTCCCTCATAGAAATGCATAAACAGTTTTTAAATATATATATTTAAGACTTCTGAGATAACAAAAAATGCATTAAGCGATTTCAATTAATCAACAAAAAACGATATTTTATTTAAAAAAAATTATTTTATTTTTATTTGTGTGAGAAAATCCTTTAATTTATTCTTTGTCCGCCTGTGGTTTGATTTTCAACAGAAAATATAATAAATTTAAATCCAGCAATTTGGTATGGATACTATATTTCAACTAATGCATATTGAAAATAAAATTAAAATTGTCTCGCTTGCAGTTCATAGGCTTATAAGTCAACATTTCTTACATTTATACTCAATATCAGCTGTTAATTTCAAAAATTGCAAAAAAGTAAAAACAATTTTTTTCTTTGATTTTCTTCAAGATATTTGCATTTTATGAA